TGTCACAGCCTATAGCCCTGCCATAACATTATCAAAGTCATTTTATGGCAAGCCAACTACTCAAATCTGAGTGATCCAACATTGACTGATTTGTTTGACGTGAGAGAGAGAATACTGTGAGCCCAGCTCTGATTCAGACTGAATATCATCAAATCCACACTCTTCAAACCACACACAAGGTGCAGGAAAGAAAACAGACCATGTCGTATGCTCATTACACTCTGGAGATCTGCAAGAAACACACTAATAATACAAACACATCACTACAAACCTATATGACCAAAACACTAAGCTGAGCATTTAACTATTGCCTAAAAAGTACATAAAGTAATCATTTTCCACTCAACAGAAGTTTTAAAATGAAATAAATTAATAGTAAAGGGTAGTAAAGGGTGATGTAAAAATTATGTATTTTCCAGTCAGAGCTGCTTGATGCTGATGGTGGACAAGGAAGAGAGATTTTCAAGAGAAATTCAGACTTCCGTCTATGCCTCATCTATATTGCACATTCATGCAAGTGAGGAGAAAGACCGAAATCTGATTATTTCAGATCATGGGCCTCTGCTGTTGCACATCAGACACATTTCAATCTTCTATAGATAAATCAGAGTCCAGAATAATCAAATGTAGTAATTTATTAGTCAGGTGAAAATAATACCATTTACAAAATTAAGGAATGAAAAAAGAACAATGTAAACCAATTCACAAAGTTATCAATTTATCAAGGAGAAGAGAATCCTTCCAACTGGAATGCAAAAAACAGATGCACAATAATTATTTCGATGTGTTTTTTGATGTGATGAATTATGGCAATCAAATATATAAAGGCAGCACGACATGAAGGCAAGTTTATGACACTAAATTGTGACATCACTGATGTAGATCAATAGAGGATTTTTGCAAACACTGTAAAATCATTCCTTATTTCTTTTTAAAAACCATTTTATTAATATAAAGGCTTTCATTTGAATATATTTATGTCGAATAACTATAGATGGCGATGTATAAAATGTTATCTTTATATTATTAAAAGAGCAGTATAAAAATGTTTATGGGTTTAAGATGTTCAGCTAAAAAATATACAGTATATGTATATGCAACACATAGGTCAAATGTTTCAAATGTCTTATTTTTACATGACAAAGTTGAACTGTTCCTTTCATTTCAAAATTTCTTCCATGTTCATGTAGTTGCATCTTCTCTCTTTTTCACATTAGGTCTGTAAAGTCTTGCACAGTACTGTCTGTTGAGCACCAAGGACAGAATATCAGCAATCTGTAAAAAATAAAAATTCAAGTGTGCTTTGTTCTCCAGTGAGAATATTCCTAACACAGGTGATTATTATTTGTATCGTAATTTGTGGTTATTATATAGATCATTAGTGTTTGACATGTATATTAATATACAGTACAACATGCATTTGACACTCACTGTTCAGTTCACTGTAGCTGCATTCTCTCCGACAGGTTCTGCTCTCTGTTGTCTCCAGCTGTGTTTTCAGTGCCACCACCTGTTATCATCAACCACAGGACAGGACAGGTCATATAGAGGTTTGAGTTTATAATCTCATAATACCAACTGTAGATTCTCGTACCCAGGTCTCTGAACAGGAATGGTTCATGGATTTTAAGTGCATGATAAAATTCATATTTCACTCTGTCTCCTCCGGCTTCCAGTGCTTCAAAGAGCTTTCTCATTTTTTCCTGGTTGGTTCTTTCTGCTCTGATCTCTGCATATGTTTCAGCATGGATCATGCCTTTACTATTTAGCTCATCAACTATTGGCATCACTGAAGTAACCCTTTGAATAAGAGCTGCACGGTTCCTATTCACAAACTGGGCCTCTGGACATAAAACAATGAATTAGGATATATAGCATAGAAACAAATATAATTAAACGTTTTCGAAAGTCTTCGAATATATATATATATATATATATTTCAAGAAAGACAATAAACAGGTTAATTGTTTACTTGTACAAAATAGAGATTAGATTTGTTTCAAATATTTGAGTTTGCCAACTAGATCGCGCCGTTTCTCTCACTTACCAAAGCTGCTCATCGTGTTTGAATAACGTTGATCCACGAAATGGTGAGCTATGATCCGCCGCGTCTGCCTAAAGTTAGGCTATAACTCTTGAATTAAAAACAAAGAAACAAATTTAAAAAAAAAAAAGTTTTTAATCTGCCGTATACGCGTTGGTAAAATACAATAGGCTATACTTTCAACTGAACTAGTTTGACGTAAAGAAACAGCTGCAGCAAGCACCGGACGTGAAAAACGAAAGTAGCCTTATATTCAATGTAAATAACATGGACTGGGCGTAGCTATAAGACGTAATGTCTTCGTAATGCATCGCTCTACAGGCCTATATTAGTAGGCTACAGTAGGCTAAATTCAATAATGGTATTTCCCCCTTATGCTCATTTTGTCATCAGTTTGATGAGACAATTATTCATTTGTTTTGGGAATGTGTAGCCTATTGCAAAATCTTTTGGGTTGACTTTTCAAATGTTATATATTTCTTTAGACTTCTGTAGGCTATAAGCCAAAAAATATATATGTTTTTGGTGACTCTATGAAATTAGGCCCCTCTCAATTTGTAAATTTTCAAAGAAAACTGTTTTTTATTTTTGAGAAAGATATTGATATGTAGGCTATTTAAAATCATTGAAGAACTCTAAACTCTACTGCATGTAAGACTCTAAAATTGTGTCAATCATTTAAGCTTGTTTAATGTTATGTTTATGGAATGTAACCCTCTGTATTGTTGTAATGTTACTGTCTTGATTTGTGTTTGTTATTAGGCTACTGCATAAATAAATAAATAAATAAATAAATAAATAATAAAAAATAGTAGGCAACAGTATGCTATTCAATCAAATAAGAGAATGGATGACTTGCGTTTGGTCTGGATACAACTTTTTTTTTTTTTTTTACTTTCCCGCCATTGGCGGAGTTTCTGTGTTGTGTATCTCAGGTGTCTGTGTTTATAAACAAAACAACAACAACAACAACAAAAAACTATTTCTCTCCAGCCATTAAAAAAAAAAATACATTTTCGTTAAAATAGACTATTTCATTCATACAGGCTTAGCTAAATAAGGAATTATTTAGCTAAAAAATCTCATTTGGCGTTGGGAACTAATTTTGGACCTTGAAGTATAATGCAAATGAATGGAGCCATATTTGAGAATAGGGTTATTTATTCTGACAATTGTCGGAACGACAAACTTGTCCCATGAGCCTTTATGTAGTCACTGATGTCCAAATATCATTTAAGAAAGGAACACAGGAACAACACAATATTTCATATGACTTCAAGAGGGCTGCTTAAACGTGTCAAAATGTTAGTTTGGCTTTGATTTAAAATTAATAACATAAATAACAAAAATATAATAAGTAATAATAAAAATAATAATATAATTATAATAATAATAAATAAATAATTAAATAATAAAATCTATATCATTAGAAAATATACAACATGAACAATTCAAGAATATGGGAGACAAATATTCTAAAACACAAAAAGTGCAAGATCATAGTTTCAAACAATTTCACTTGTTAATTGAATTTTAAAAAGCCGGCCAATGCCCAAAACATTTAATCTAAAGTTTCTTTCAGTATTACATAGACTGATGTTTAGATTCCCTTCATAAATCGACATTTAAAAATTCAATACTTTGATCCATGCACATTGACTTGGTACATTGACATTACATTGACGTTGAATTTTGATACAGTATTTATATAGGCCATAAAAATATCCATATTTCAGCCAAGCATTGGACTGCATGTACATCTCACTCCAACATGTTCCAGTTCCTCTCTTACAGGTTTCACTCAGCAGTTTGCAATGAATGATACATCAGAAATGACTTAAATAAAGAAAACTGCATCTATTTCCAGAGGCTACAGACGCACTGTGATTGTGCATAACACAGTCTCATCCCAAATCGTCATATAACTGACGTTTTGGGACGTATTTTGACCATACGTCAATATCCGCCTTTTTAGGGCCCCCTTAAACGTCGGTAGATGGCGATCCCGGGCCGTCATACAACTGACGCTTTACCTTTAACGTCAGTTAGGTGACGGGTTAGGTTTAGGGTTAAGTTTAGGTATGGGGTAGAGTTAGGATCCCATAACCTCATCTACCGACGTTTAAGGGGGCCCTAAAAAGGCGAATATTGACGTATGGTCAAAAGACGTCCCAAAACGTCAGTCATATGACGATTTGGGATGAGACCGGGTTGTTGTGCAAAGCGGACACACAGAGATGCTATAAAATCTCAGGAAGGCCACAGGATAGATCACATGACACCACTGAGTCTGTGTTTTTCCAATTCTGTGTGATGTGATTCAGTGTTTGATAAAGGTTACTGAATGGAAGTGCATATGTAGCCAAGCACACTACAGCAAAGCATCACATCCCAATATGGCTCACGATCATGAGACGCACAGACACATGGCACTGGCAGTCAATCAGTTACTATAAAAAGGGTTTGCATTTATCTCAGCCACACACTGTGAATCAGAACTGTCATAAATACACAATCATACCAATAAAACAGAAGCACAGCGTCATACATTAATAAATGCACGTGTTGTTTCCCTCAGAGCTGGCTCTGCGTGGCCTGTGTCCAGAGTGTGACAGTGCGGTCAGCGGAGGAGGACAAGAAGGAGAGGTGGTGTGTGTGCCACCTGCACTGGATCACCTTATCCGCATGCTCACCCGCTACAGTCAACGGCAGCGGCTTCGTCAGGTCACCTGAGTATGTGCACACAGTAAAATTATCAAAAAATTAATTTAATACATATTTACACTGCATCATCTGCATAGATTGTACACTGCAATCACAAGTACTGTTTTAGAAGAAAAATATGGTTGAAGTATTCTGGCATGAAAACGTGTCAACTCCACTGATTCCAAGGTTATTCCCTCATTTTCAACACTGAGCAGCTTCACATCATCTTTGAGAGAGGGGTCAGACTCTGCTAAACTGGAGCCAAACAGGCGTAATGAGGCAGATGGGCCTCCTCCAGTTTCCCTGAGATCACGGTCACATCGATCACTGGACCAATTCGCTCACACTGAAGCCTCTCCAGCTCTGCATTGAGGAAACGTCCATCCACTGGACGATACTGAAGAGTGACGTCACCCCCACAGACCCATCGGATTCTGGTCCTGCTGCACTCGAATCGACCCGCAGGAGTGCTGATGCTGAACTTTGACCCTCCTTCATCTGTACAGACTGACGGCTCCACCTGAACCCACTGATCACAGTCGACAATGTGAACACAAGACTGACAGTGAAGATTCATTTCAGAAGGTTCAGGAACAGAGACGTACAGCCTAGAGAACAGAGATGATAACCATAAATGAAATTACGTATGTATAAAAGATAAACACAATTTTTTTTTTTTTTTTTTAGAAAATAAAATTGATCTCACTCTTTCGGGTCTTTCAAAACATTTGAAAATACTCTAGGTATTACACTTCCAGCTGTGTTTCCACTGTTCTGTGCACTGGTCTGTATCTTTACTGCATGTTATAAGCATGGAGAAAACCAGAATAAACAGAATAAATAAAAATATGCAAAATATATCACTTTATGCTTTTCAATCTTTTGTAGGAAACATCTTGTTTTTGTTAGGTTTGTACCAATTTGGTGACTATTTCAAAATCAGTAACTGGTGACCCTAAAATAGGGACTCTAGCCCTCTGATGGTCTTCAGGGTCCACTGGACCCCAAATGACTTTTGCTTGAATTAAAAAAAAAAAAAAGTTCTCTTTTTCCAAATGGTAGGAAACTTCCTACGGCTCTCAACACTTTCTAGATCTAAAAAAAAAAAAAAAAAAAAAAAAAAAAAAATGGAATGTTATCTGTTTTTATGTAGGCGTGACAAAAATAGTCACACTCGTGGTCTTCGGGGTCCATTGGACCCCAAAAAATAACATTTAATTTTGTAACAGAACAATATATATATATATATATATATATATATAATATTTATATATAATATTAATGTTTAATAATGTTTTTACTCAACATTTGTGCAGTTTTTGGAGGATTTATGATATCTTTTAAATATCTATAAATAATTAAATACATATTTATTTATCATTGGACTCAAAATAGACAAAATTCATCATCAAAAACAGAAATAACGCAGAACACAGACAGAAATGACTGAAATAAAGTGGCACATTTCCAACAATGCAAAAAATATCCACAATCCAAAAATAATTAAATACATATTTATTTATCATTGGACTCAAAATAGACAAAATTCATCATCAAAAACAGAAATAACGCAGAACACAGACAGAAATGACTGAAATAAAGTGGCACATTTCCAACAATGCAAAAAATATCCACAATCCAAAATTATCATGCTCACACATGCACACACACACACAAACGCACACATATAGAGGAATACAATATACAGGAATACATAAACAGACTATAAAAACTCTTATCATTTCTAAATTAAAATACTCTAAAATGCAGAACCATCGCAAAAATAAATTGGTAACACTAAGACACATTGGAAATGTGCACACCACACACACACAGGGATACATTTGTAAGGCTATAAAAAGATAGAAGAGATGAGACCAACTATTGTTCTATTGTTCCAAACTATTGTTAGTTGTTCGATTTTCTTCCCAATTTACTTCTTTTTTTTTTTTTTTTTTTTTTACAAAAACAAATGCTAAACTTTGACAAAAAGTATTTTATTTTTGTTATAATTGTGTTAATAAAATGATTAGGATATATAGAAAATGTAGCATTGGTGCATGTTGATTCAAAGTTTGCTTCATCAAAGTCCTCGCAGGAGTCCTCTCTTCACAGGAAGGCCTATCATGAAGGTATGGGCATTTGAAGTCTTCACAAGAATCTGGATTGTAAACTAGACAGGCATATGGGAAATTGAAAAAAAAAATACTCTGAAACCCAAGTGAAGTAACACAAACTTAGAAAGTCAAAAACTGTTAGGTTGTACATACCATGCTCTCCCCTGCTTCATGTAATTCTCAGAAATATATTAAAATTGCATGCAAGACAAAATCTTTTGAGATATACTTATAATACGTAATTATGTATTCAAAGTTGGCTTGTAGTTGTGTTAAATGTTTTGAGTAGCTTATTAAATATTTGTTTCACAGTGTTACATATTGTCTTCTAAATTCACAATGTTTGAAAATATTGATTTTGAATATTGATACTGAAAAACATTTTCAGTATGTGATTTTTTTTTTTTGTATCCACTGGTACAATTTACTTCAAATCTCCTAATCTCTTTCCCAGCCACTGACATTATTGGATAATCGATAATGCACAGGCATAGAGAGACAGACAGACATTTTTCAATCATGAAGCTGTCAATATTGTGTTTTTAATATTGATTTAGTTCTACCAATTAATCTGAAAATACACCGGTGGCATAAAAGCCTGTGGAGTTGTACCGGTCATTAGGCTGTTTTTTCTTTGTAAAAAAGAAAGTAGGTTGTGCTGTTGCCACTTCCATACTAACCAACTTCTTGTAGGAGACATATATCTACATAGTCTGTAGTATCCAATGTGTAATCAAAAGTTATGAACAAAAAAAAAGGCAACCAAGAAAGTTTTACTGTTAACGTTTACTGTTAAAAAATTGTGCAAAGCTATTTCGAATTATATACAACAGAGAAACAAACAAACAATATGACTTTGCAAAATGAGCTTTGTAAATCTAAATCATACACACAGGGAAGCACGTTGTTTCTTTTTCTGCTTTGGTGTTAGGTTGTTAGGTGAAACTCACATGTTTGCGTTAACACACTCCAGTGGAGAGATACCTATTCTACTATTCTATTCTACACGCAATCGCCTCTGCCATAACGACCTATTGGTTTTCATTAAACCCAGAAAAATGGAATTTTGTTTTATTTACGATCACTGAGAAATGTTCTATTATTTTACCCTCTGGGATTGTTTGTTCCAGAGTCACACTTGGGGTGTTCGGGTCCAAATGGACCCAAAGGGCGGGATTCATATTTAGAAAAAAAAAAATCATTTTTTTTTTTACTCGTTTTTTTATAATATTTTTTCTTTTCTTTTTTTTTTTTTTTTTTTTCAATATATATATATAATTAGTATTAATGCAATAATTATGACAAAATTTCCCCCCATTGAACATAATAGAAAAAATATATTTAAAAAAAGGGCAGAAAAAAAAAATTCTTCCTTGAGAGTAGTTGCATCTTGTTCGCTATAAGAACTTGACAGGGCTGGATCTATAAACATGCTAAAATTTTCCCCCTCAAAGAGCTGGTTGTGACTGTCACTATAAGCAATGCTGGCCATCTCACTGATCGTTTCCTTGTTGGCTGCTGCCTTTTGTGCCCTTGACACTCTAGCCCAGATTTTATTGTACTGCCTCTTACGCTATTGATGTCATCCATCTACTGTACTGGTGTCTCTGCCAATAATTCAATAAATGACAGTACATTCAGTACATTTTCAGATTTAATCTGTTTTTCCCTTAAACTTATATCAGCCATATAACTTGATTGGTACTTAACTTACATTTTTGGAGGACATACTGGCCAGAAGTACAAAGGCTGAGAAAACAAACAGAAATAAACAATTAAATAAATATACGTACACACACACACACACACACACACACACATATATATATATATATATATATATATATATATATATATACTATTTCAAACAAGATAAATTAAAAGATGTAGCCACACTCTTGGCTTTTTTTTTAGCATCATAATACTTAATATTGTTTATATCAAATTTAATTGTTATTTTTTTGTGATGTATGGCATAAAAAAACTTTACATTACACATGTTTTTTGTTCTCAGGTAAATAATTTGTAAATTGTTCATAGTTTGATTTTTTAATGTTTAAAAGTTTAAATATACATTTAAATTTAATTAATTTTAATGTATAATAAGCTATACCAATTTAAAGATAATTCCAAAAAGATATGCATTATTAATACATAAATTCAGACTAAATCAATGGTCTACACAGTCTATAGCTGTGACCTTGGAATAAGTTCATGAATCCACGTCTTTCTACAAACACGGGAGGTGAATTATTATTCTAATTTGGCCCAAAAGCTGCTTGCAGTGGTTATTGTTTTTAAGGTCCACTTGAATCATTACTTTTCAGTGTGTTTGCACCTGTAAAACAGTTTTCAAGATAGAAATAACTCTAATTTTAATTAAACTCCAGTACAATAGATGATCGTAAATAAAACAAAATTCCATTTTCTCGGTTTAATGAAAAACAATAGGTCTTTATGGCAGAGGCGAATAAACATCCGGATATCTCTCCAATGGAGCGTGTTAACGCAAACGTGTAAGTTTCACGTTTGAGGGGGTTAAACCGTGACATCTACACATTTTCCAAAGTGATTTAGGCTGCTTCATTAAAAATGTGACATTTAGACGTTTTTTCAGCGTGGATCGAGGCAAATGAATCCTGTTCACCTTGAAAATAATAAATGTTTTGTTGCATAGACCATTTCTCAGTGATCGTCAATAAAACAAAATTCCATTTTTCTCAGTTTAATGAAAACCAAGGTAGCCTAAGTTTCAGTTTAAGTGTAAGTTTCACGTTTGAGGGGGTTTAAACTGTGACACGTTTTCAAAAGTGGACCAACGTGATTATTTCACGTCTTGTCTTGATACGGGTTGGGCACTGAAGTTACAGGAGTTTCTTCCAACCCGATCTCATGACCAAGTCGTACGAATTCGACGAATGATTAAAAAGTGGCTAATTCGTAACAATTCATACGACCTCACACGTACGAATTAATACGATTTTGCTAAATTGTACATATTTTACGAATTGGCCAATTCGTATGAATTCGTACGAATGACCTACCCCTGACCCCGCCCCTAAACCTAACCATCACGTGGGTTTAGACAAATCGTAGGAATTAGTACGAGTGAGGTCGTACGAATTAGTACGAATTAGACACTTTTTAATCATGCGTCAAATTCGTACGAATTGGTCGTGAGATAGTGTTGGTTTCTTCCCGTTGCTAAGCAATGGAACTAGGTCGAGTATTTAAAAGGTTATGGTTAACACGGTTAACGTGGTTTAACGTGGATGTAATACGTTGTTTTTAGCGTAGGCCTACCTTTTGCTTAAACGAGGAGCTGGGGGGACGCCGGAAAAATAGACATTTTACTCATTAGGCTGCTTCATTAAAAATTGTGACATTTAGATGTTTTTTTTCAGCGTGGATCCATGCAAATGAATCCTGTTCACCTTGAAAATAATATATATATATTTTTTGCTTTTTAAATATTAGACCATTTCTCAGTGATCGTCAATAAAACAAAATTCAATTTTTCTCAGTTTAATGAAAACGTAAGTTTCAGTTTAAGTGTAAGTTTCACGTTTGAGGGGGTTTAAACCGTGACATCTTCACGTTTTCAAAAGTGCACCAAAGTGATTATTTCACGTCTTGTCACGACACCGGGTTGAAGAAATATTATTTAGGCCACTTTGTTTGA